AAGAATTGTGGTTGCTTTTGCTTCTCTGGGCTGGTACATAGAAGAGATTCCAAGTATATTGGCATGAACAGTCCTACTCATTTATATAAGGTGAATAAAATTTGACAGGGGCTGAATAAGCTGTCTGCTTGCAGAAATGTCAGCCACAGACAGTTTATTCCTCATACTATTCAAACCAGAGTGATCTATGTGACATTATATCTGATAAAGAAATTACTACATAGTCATTTTTGGATCAGACATCCAACATGAGGCATATCACAAATATAAAAATCCTTAAGATGGGTCCTTATATGGGCTTGTGTGTGATATAAACACTGATCAAGTTTGGCAGAAAGTGTACAACCAGGCAAATATCCATTAAAAAAAAAAAATCAAAAGGTAGCACGGATAACACTGTGCTCACCACAGCTCTCCATGGAAACAAAAAAGTTGAGTTCACAGACTTAAGGGAAATTTGTATTGAAAATGCTTTCAAGGAATGTTACCTCTTACTCTAGGACAAAATGCCTCCTTAAGTAGCTGAGTATTTGTAAAGTATGCACAGACTGGTATTTTAATCAGAGATAATGAAACAGAACAGAAACAGAGGGTATTTAAGAAAGAGAACAAGAATATTATGATTAAAAAAAATCTGTCTTAGCCCTTCACTCTGCTGTTTGTCACAACGGCAGAGGAGGCTCATCCACCTAAAAATCAATACAAAACCAGGAGAGGATTAGTGGCTTTACCAGGCTTCTTACTACTGTTTTTGAAGCTAAATTTCTGTGTCAGGTGGATGCAGAGGAACCTGGATCTAACATGCACACACCTTACAATTCACGTGAAACTTCATATCGTAATTACAAGCCAACATAACACATCCAGATTGCACGGTCTCTTCTACAGAGGATGTTGTGGGATATATTTTACTGTCTCTGAAATAAGTGTAGCTTTCTACCATGCAACAGGGAAATGATTATTCTCAAGGAGTCTCAATTTTCTGCACAGCCTGGTTGATCCAACTTTCCCCTTTTTGAGAAGGGACAGTACAACTGTCCTCACTGAGGAAAGTAGGGTCCATAAAATCGAAACTGAAGAAAATGCACAAAGAAATGCTGCAAGCTTGTTTGTATTGCCTTTATACTGAGAGCCAAATTTGGAGACTGGTCTGGCTTCTCAAGCTTCCTTTATTTTATTGGCAGCCCTGGACTATTTCTCTCCTATATGATTTGGTATACAAAGAGAAGTTATCTTTTTTTCTTCACCCTTTAGGCTACACTCATCAAAAAGATTACATGCAACAAAATGGGGTTTAGTAAAACTCAGTTAAATACATTGTATTTTACCTGCTGCAATAGTAACATTTCAATGCACTGTATACTAAAGTGATTAAAACAAAATCAAATCCAATAATGCTAAAGAAATATCCTCCGCAAAACTGTAAGGGCATACAGTGCATACATAAAACAGACCATGCAAAATAAGGATTCCATTCAAATTTCACATCTCATTAAAGACAATTTGGCCATTAATCCATACGGGTTTAGGAGCAAAGAAGGATTTTCCAAGACAGATAAACTGAAATGATCCTCCTTTGATCTTCGAGGTTAAGAATCAGCAACAATGGAAGATGAACAACAAGGGGCAGAACCACTGGCCTTTTTATGTGCCACAATGGCATCAGCAAACAACTACTTAATCAATATTTGGCCAGGGACACTGAAAACTTTCTTTTCAAATTTTAATTCCTAGTTGTAAAACAACTGTAGGGCAACCAGCAAGATAAGACATTAAACTGACTGCTTAATTGCCTTTTACTGTCTTACTAGTTATATATGCACATTCTTAATAGTTCGTAGATCTTTATTTACTAGGATGAATAAATGACCTGTCAACAATTACATCGAACTCCACTAGCTAAATAATCTCATCCCATGACACACTTTAACTCTAATGTGTCCTCAGTGAGTTTTAATTTCATTACGATTCACTTTTTTTTCTAGGCAGAGTGATTTAAACTGAATTAGCTTAACAGCATGGGGTAGGAGTACTCCAGGGCAAGTAAAATAAAATGCCACACTCACGCTACACTAAACAAGGTCTTGTGGTGAATTATATTACTGTACATAATTTTTATTAGCCAGAGAACTCAGCGTTTGGGGAACACTTGAAAGCATCCTGCATTTTTATTTCTATATTTTGTTCTTTCTCTGGCCACATGTGTTTGCTACACAGGATTTAAAGTGACATTTACATGGAGAAATTCACATTGACTGGCTTGCTCTGATTTATTGCTTTGTGTTTCACTCAATTTCTTCTTAAATTAACCAGAGAGCACTTTGTAGTTCTGCTTCATTTCCCAATGAAGTTTTATTACACAGCTCTGGAGACTCATGATAATTTATCACTATCAGCTTTATTGGCCTCCCTCTTCTAAACCCTGTTTCAACCCTTATCAATAAGTAATCCCAATACTAAATTAACCATCCCCAAATAAGTGTTAGATAAAAGTGTTGTCTTTGACTGATACAACAGAGAATCACTATTGAGAATCAGACATGGAAAATTATTTGTTTTAAGGATTTTATCAGTATTGGCTTTTACTTTCAGCATTAATTGCTAATTGGCTTTTTATCTAATTAAAACCTCTGTCTGTCTGCTGATTCCATCACTACCTCTGTAAACACAGACACAAAGATCCTTGTCCTCAGTAAGAGTTTTGCCAGAGTTTCACTCGGGATTAGAGTCACACTCTTATGTAGCGGGTACTTTACACTAACAGAATAGAACAAATTTGGGCCCCATTCCTGCCTGCCCCAACCCACGTGAGTAACGTTACACACATGAATAGGCCCTTTGAGGGGGACTCCTCGCTGTTACTCGCCTATGACAGCATTTGCAGAACTGGAGGTCTGATACCCAAACCACCAAACCCATTTTACATAATAAACCTGAGGATTTCTCCCAGAGCTGCTGTTGCTCAGCACATTACAGAGCTGGTTTCAAGAAAAGCCTGATCTCTACTGTGGTAAATTCCTGCTGACGTCAAGGATTCTGCAATCACGGGAAGATCTGGAAAGCCGAAGATACAAATCGCATTTTCAGAGCAAGTCCCAGCCACACGGAAATCAACCAACCACGTTTCTTGCCTCAGCCTTTTCAGAATGACACTAAGTCTAATAGATGAAGATTTTCTAAGCAATCAAATAAGATGTTAACTTGAGTACAAATTCAAGTTAATGAATTGCTGTGTGTGAAGCAATCTTACATTTGCTAAAATAACATTTGGCTTTGTTCTATACATATGCAATTAGAAAAACGAGAAAGGAAGCCCAAAGCAATTTTGTTTGAAGGGGCACTGACTCTTAAATTGAAGAAAGTGTCCCTAAGACGGCAAAACACGCAAAGCCATTAATAAAATCATGATTTTAAGAAAGGGATATGATGTATCTATATATTCCTTCCGAGAGTCGCTGCTAGATTAACACCCTTTCTTCCCACACCTGAAAGTATTACTAGTGCTTGTGTCAGGCGATTAGCCTGCAGTTAGTCTGACAATTAGCACTCTCCTCAAAATCCCCCCCTTCCCAGCTCCCTCCAAGACTATGGGTATGGGCTACTCCCGGCAGCTCTGGAACTGCAAACTTCACTTTCAAGTCACTCTAAACACAAACATTTAGCACCTTTCTAAAAATGCTCAGCATGCTGGGACATCACGCTTGATGGTGAGGTCATTATTGATCACTGAGGTCATCAGTTACTACTATTATTAGCTCAGAAAAAGTATTTGGAAGCAGAAGCCTGGCCCAGAGCCCCGCAGTGATGATGGGTCAGGCGAAAGAAACAAAGCTGTCCTGAGATTGTGTGGCATCACCTACATCGATTTACGCTTGTGCCACACCTGGCTTCTCTACCCAGACTATTAAGATATGAGGAAAGAAAAGGGGAAAAGACAGAAAATATTGTTGGCAATATTTGCCTTGAGCCAAATACTGGACTCACTAAGGAATTTTTCTTAATTAAGCACTATTTTCTTGTCAGCTCTGAGAGCCTCAGAAACAACACTGTTCAAGTTACACGAGTTGATTTCTTAGACCTGCTAGTGACCAAATATATAAAGTACTGTACGAAATTCCAGACTCAAGAAGATAATTGCCTGCAGCCACAGTCATCATATTTCATTCAATAAGAGAATCTTTACCGGGAACACTGAGCAGGGGAACACACTGTGCTTCTCAGCCCACAACAGCATTGCACACAGCACGTAAGTCTTCTCACCGCTGTGCCCTGGGACAGGACACTGTAGCAAAATCAGGACAAGCCCTGCATTAGAAAATCACAACCAAAATCTAACTCAGCATCTGCCTTGTCTCAAGCTCCAGCCACTAACCCAACAGTCTACGATACAGAAATGAATGGGATGACTCAAACTGATATCTGGTGCCTGCATGTTAATCCCCTCCCTTAATAAACTGCCTTTATTAGTTTAGCAGTCTAAAAATAACTGGCTGCATGATAGTGACCAATTCTAATCAAAACATCTGCCAGCCCATCTAGCCTGAGCTACCCTTTAGATCGTGTGCCACCACTTCAAAGCCTGTGCATCAAGTCAGTAATTGTAACATTGCATCTAAATATTTAAGCTAGGGGCTGGTAGTCGCGTGTCCCATTTACAGTCAGCATCTGTCCTCTAATTCCATTACAGTACAAAGCAAAAATGTTTCCCAAAACTCACAAACAGGAAAAGCATCACACAGCTAGAGAGGCAGCAGCAGCTTGAACTTTCGAGCTGCTGAGCAGGGCTTTTGTGCTAAGGTCCTTTTTCTTTCTCCCCCTTCAAACTCCCCACATACACACACTAAAATAGGGGTGGTGCTGAAATTGTATTAATGTGAGCCTCAGGCACACAGAAAAAAAGAAAAGAGGAAGGGGAGGGAGAGGGGGGAAGGGTTTGGTCCAAGATGAAAGTAAGAAGAAAATAAAGGAGGCAATTTAGTCTGCTGTAGCCTGAATTGCTCTCAGTACAGCCAAGGGTAGAGGCTTGGGATGAGTAGGGCCCTTTTTGGACGGGTGCGCATGACTGGGGGAGGATCCGCCAGGACAGGGCCCGGGGGCCAATTCCGCTGGCTGGGAACAGAGGCCCCCTTTGAGGCCAGGCGGGGGGGTCCCGGCCCCGGCACCAGCCCCAGCCCCAGCCCGCACCGCCCGCTCACAGCGGCCCGAGGACCAGCTCTACACCCCATCACTGGAGTGCTGAAAGCCACTGTTTTCTGCCGGAAAACAACAGCTATTTTATGAAGGGGGGAGTTATCAGATTAGTCAGCAAACCAAACCACACATAACTCCCACCAAAGGTACAAGCGACTCCCTCTTCTGTAGCGGTTATGCTAAAAATAAGCCCTGATGTGCCATATAAAGGCACAAAACTTTCTCATGTTCTTTATTTATGGCTTGTGCCTTTAAGAGAAAATTATCACGCATGCAGAAATACAGATGTGCTATTGTAGAACTACCAGCTTCCTGATACATACACACTGTGGCAGTCAAGGTTTTCTTTAAACATATACTCAAAATCAGGGTTGAGGGTGATGCAAACAGAAATGCTGAAATACAGCACGTACAGGGCTGCACGTGTGGCATCTGTAAACCCCGGTGAGAGAATCATATTTAAGTGTCTGCAAAGAGGTTGGAACAGAATCACACGGGGCATACCAAAGTTTACCTACACTTATATAAGTGGTGGGAAAAATCCCAAGTCACACAATATACTGTTTCTATCACACATTTTTCAAAAATATCATGTTTCTATATTCTCTAATCCCACTCTGCTGTAAGTGCTCTCTAAATCTTGAATTAGCTACCATTAAAATGACAATTGTTATCCCTGCCCTCAGAAAAAATGCCACTCCTTGAGCCACCCAAAGGTCCACGGTGAGGAGGGCATTTCAGGCAGTGTCAGCAAACATCCAGTACTTATGTGTGCTCCTGAGCAGAAGAGCAATACTTTGCTCTGTGCTCAGCCTCAGGACTTGCTTTCTGATCTATCCCACAGCCTTCCCTTGCACCCGTGCTCTGGGACACCTCAAGCTCCTGAGACCAGAGCTATAAAAATTCCACATACTGCAAAAGATTCACACTTTTCTCCCTCCGTAATGTGGAGCACTCAGTGCTGAGCTACCACACGAGAGTTTTGCTGCACAGCCCGTGGATAACCTTTGGAAACACTGCAAGCAACCCGAGTATTGGAAAGGGCATCTGAGATGCGCTGCCAGCGGGCACCCTCGGCCACACCAGGCCTCATAGCCAGGCTAGTGGGCACTGGCAAATATGATCCTGCAGCATCAAAATCCTTAGGAGCACTGCCAGGTATTTCAATAAGAGGGCAGGATGATTTTTATAGATGGGGTGAAATTGAAGCTTCTCAGTTGGCAGTGGGCATTGAAGCAGAACCTTTTTTTGTTGATTGGATACAGAAAGTAGTGGCAGACTTCTTTTATGGTTATTTTTTTCATGTAGTGATCTCACCAGTGTATTGTTCCTATGGTATTACAATACATGTAAGGCACAAGTATGGCAATACATCTTTTCTGGAGCAGCAGAACGCTCACACTGCAGCATCCTGGCCACTCCAGTAATGAGATTAAGCAACAGCTTGCTAGTCAGGGAGGGGGAGCAAGCATTGCTGTGGGAAAGAGCACGCTCTCCCTCCAACTGCCAAACCTTCCCAGGCACTGTCACAGAACAGACAGGATTATCAAAGCTGCTGTTTCCACGGAACTGTCCGGTCACGTTCATGCAGAAGAAACCTGCTTGCCCAGGGCAGGGTAGGGCTACACTACCCCTTTTAGTCAAGGGAAATTTGCTACTGATCAAACTCAAAAGAGGCAAAGTAAGACATTCGCATCCACAGATAGTGAAGGAGAAGATACATTCAGGGACAGAATGCAGCCTTCTCGTACAACTGGGAGGCAAGAGTGAGCCCCTGTTCACAGCAAGGCATCACTGACTTTCCTGCAAGAAAAAATTTTGGCATTCCATTGGGCTGGCAGGAAGCAGACATGCACCCATATATAATAGATCAGGAGCCCCCCTTTAAAGTGCAGAGAGTCAAAGAAGAGGAAGATTGTTTCAAAGACAAACAGGGATGGGTTATATTGATAACAAAATTTTTTCTCTTGTTGTCTCTATTAATTGCTCTTTGTTCCATAAAGTAATAATATTATCAAAGCTCACTATCTTCTGTTTCTAATCTCTATCAAGAAATTCAGGAAAGCAGCAAAACCAGTTATCTAACAAGTAGGACACTGAATTTAGCTATTTTTCCCTTGATGCACATCCCCCTTGGAGCAATCCTCTGTTGAAGGAGACACTGGAGGAAACCCTGAACCTATCCTGTGGGGGCAGCTAGACCAGCAATCAAATCGTGTCTTCTGGCCTTAAAAATCTCGTATTTAGTTTTCATCTTCTGCGTGTTTGTATTACACATATCCACGCAAACACAGACACACAGAAGATGAAGTTTCTTAAGAATTTTAATAACAGAGTTGAAAACTATATTTTGGGAGAGTTTAGGGGTTTGTTTCTAAAAACCAAGGACATTTCCTACTGTTAAAGAATGGGTTCCAGTTGTCCTTGGATGGCACCAGTACCTCAGATGCCTAGAAATTCTAGAAACACTTTCTGCCTAAAAAGAGCTATTTTTTTCCACGATGGAGAGTCCATAAAACTGCGTGGAGCATCAGCTATTAGGGGCTCATTGAATAATTCATCCCTCATTGCAAGCCCATAATGTCTTTTCTCAGCCTTTTGTGGGGCTGTTTTCTCTTCTTTTCTCCTTGAATTATAAAAAGGTTGCCTTCTTTTGTTCACATCAAGCTGCTGCTAGCTGAAGCTTTGTCTGTGCAAAGCCAAAGTGTGAGTTTCAATGGACTCCCCCCTCTTTGTTTTCCAAGTTCATCTCCAAGTGTAGATTGTGTATAGAAGGCCTTCTTTGTAAAAGCTGGAAAAGTTGTACAAATGTTTGACCAGCTCATTTGGTACTTTTGTCTCGCCTTCTCCAGTGCCTGTGCATGTGCTGGGCAGCGGCTTCCACACAGAGGCCGCCGGCCGGGCCCTGCCCTGCCCCTGCACCCTGGCCCAGCCAGGAGCCGGGCATGGCCGCGGCGGGGGCAGCAGCTGTCCCCCCGGAGCAGCCCTTCACCTCCGCCTTGTTCAGGTTGCAACCTCCTCCCAGCCCCTGGCCAAGCACCAACACATGCTCTTCCCAGCAGTTTTAGCAGCAGAAAAAACAAAACGTGCGGCTCCCCGCCCTGTTCACGACTGTAAAGACTCGAGGCTCCGCAGTCTTTGGCTACAACTGCCCCTTCTATGCAGCTGTGGCCTTTTCCTTGGTTTGGGAAAGGAGCCCCTGCATGGCTGCGACTGGGGAGCTCTGTGGTGGCTCCAACGCTCCCTGCTCCCTGGTTACTGAAAGCCAAACTCGCATTGACTCCCATCTTCGTTCCCACCTCCGCGCCATTACTGCACACTGTCGGGTCGTTCCAGCGGGGGAACGGGATGCGACGGGACGTGGCAGCCATGCCATTAGGGCTAGCCCCTCGCCCTACACCTCCCGCTGCACTGGCCCCGGGACAACCTCCGAGAGAAGGGGAATGATACCGACCAGCATCTGGGACTGGTACTACCCCATCCCAGGACCCTACGGAGAGCAGGGGGAAATGGGACTTTACCTCTTTCACTGAGGATGCCATCAATGCTGTGCTTAGCCTTCTTGTCGCCGTCCTCCACCTCCTTCCTTTCCAGTTCAGCCTCCTCTTCCTCGCCTTTCCCGAACTTGCTCCGCAGGATGCGGCTGATGGAGCTCACTTCGGGGGGGAGTGCAGAGCTGTGAGCGGCTCGTCCCCAGAAGCCCCCCCCGCGGCGGTCGAGCCGAGCCCCCAGTCAGAGCCACTGCCCGCGCCCCGCAGCCGCCATCAGTCGGGGCATTGGGGAGGCAGCGACCCGCTCCCCTCCCCGCGAGGTTTCACGAAGCATCGTCGCGCACCGGATTCCAGGGCGGGCACAGCGGCTCTCAAGTATCTTTTTTTTTTTCCCCGAGCCCGGGTGGTGGATGATAAGAAAAGGTCGCGGACACCCGCACAAATACTGCTTCGGCTCCATGTGCCCCCCCGCCCCATCCCACAAGTAATCCACCGGCACAGGGAGCTGTTCCCCATCTCCTACTTCCCAGCTCCCGGACTCCGGCAAGACACAAGCCCTCCTGCGGCAGCAGCCCGGCGGGGACGGCGGGGAAGCGTCAGGAGGTGGAGGGGAGGAGAATGAAATTACAATTTAATTGAAAACACCCCGTCGAGCACAGGAATCCTCCCAGGACATGCCAGCCGCTCCGTGGGCGCTGGCCCGGCCCGGGGCTCCGATCCCGGGGAGTCGGGGTTCACCCGGGTATCCGGCTGCCCCCCCACCCCCGGGCTGCCCCCGACCCTCCGGGACGCGTCCGAGCCCCCCGCCCCGTACCTGACGGCACCGTGTTGCGGTCACACACCCCGTCCTTCAGCAGCTTGTCCCGGATCTCCCAGCTGAACATGCCCGCGTTTTCCCGCTTGTATTCCTCGATTTTCTTCTCAACATCCGGCGTCGTCACCTGCTTCAGTAAAGACAAGGCGAGCGGGCACAGTCTGTAGGGCCAGAGGCGGTCGGGGGAGCCCGGTGTGCCCCGCCGGGACCCCCGGTGCGGCCGGGGCCTCCCGCGCCACCGCCAGCGAAAGCCGACACCGGCCCCGCTTAGAAACCCCGTTATAAAACACCCGAGGACGGGCAGGGTAAAATCAGAGGGGACACAGAAGGTAATAACGGGCCCGCATAAGACAAGCAGTCCCCGCGTTAAACGAAACGTCGCAGTAAGTCTTCCGGGGCTACTGGGAAGGTGGGACCGAGCCCTCGGCAAGGAAAACCCGAATTAGGCAGCACTGGCTGCCGTGCGTCCGAGCTGAAAGTCCCGGGTAAATTCTGGGTCGCGATTAGCAGAGGACTTCGGGCAGCGAAGCCCCAGGTTAGTAAAGTTTCGGCTCAACAAAGGTTGCGGCGCCGAACAAAAAAACAGCATAATAAAAAAAATCGGAGAGGTTCGAGTACCGAAAGGTTCCTTCGGTGGCCTCGTGGTTTTAAGATAAAGCTAAAATCAAACAAAAGAACGGTCTCCGGTCTGGGAACAACCTTATGTTCGGATAACACGCTTATAAAAAATTACATCTACTGCCAACACCGAGAGGAAAAGTTCGGGCATTACTACTTTAGAAGAAACAAAGGGGGAAAAAATCTAGCAACAATTTCCAACAGAAACATAAGCCTTTAGTTTTCTTTAATGGGAATGAAAAGCTAGAGGAGAAGGCTAATCTTGGGACAAGAATTCGTCTGCATTATTGCGAGCACAAACTTTTCGGCGGTGTGGCTATAAATACACGCAGCTTTAGAGCGGGGAGAAAAAGTAAACAGAGCAAGAGAAGGAGCGGTAGGGAGACAGACAGAAATACAGGTCGTTTTGTTGCGCTTTGCACCGAAAGCAGGAAGGGCCCGATCCCGCCGCGCTGTGCCAGCCCTTCACCGGACCGATCGCGTCCCGGTCCGTCCCGCAGTGCCGAGCCCTCCAGTGGTCCTGCGGGGATGAGTGTAGGGCATGCGGGGCTTTGGGCAGCCAAGCGCTCAAAATAACACCCTTTTCGCCCTAGTTTCGTTTGAGATTTGTTTTTCAATAGAGTTTTCTTAATTAAAGTATCTAATTTCCGCGAACTCCAACGATATTTTGTAAAACCTCGGAAAGTTTGTGAGCAACAGGCAAGGGTGCTGTGCCCCATGCGTGTCTACGCCCACCCCCGGCCCTCCCGGGTGCTGCCGTCCCGCCTGCAAACTCCAGTGCCGGCCAGTCTGGGCCGTGTCCCAGTCGGGCCTCGCTCCCCTCCACCGCGGCCGGGGTTTGCCCGGCTCCGGGCGGGCAGGAGGGGCTCACCTTGGGCTTGCTGCCGCCGATGGCCCCCGGCCGGATGGAGCCCGTCTCCTGGTACCTGCAGAGAATTTTGGAGACGCAGCCGTGGGACACTCGCAGCTGGCGGGAGATGACACAGGGCCTTATGCCATGGTGGGCCATCTCCACTATCTTGTGCCGGATATGGTTGGGTAAAGGCCTGCCATTGATAAACACTCCTCCGAGCTGATTGACTCTGCCCTGGCCTAGAGGGGTAGAGACTAGAAAAGGAGGGAGGGGAGGCAGGGGAGTAAACGGCGTTAACGTCTTCTTCGGATCCTGCTGCGTCTTTTTTTGTTGTTGTTGTTACTGGGGGTTTTGTCGTTAGTTTTCTATAAAGCAACTCTCTCCCGCCCGCCCAGCCGCCCCGCAGCGCGCCCGGGGCCCGCAGCTCCCGCGGAGCCCCCGCCACCACCCCGGCGGGCAGGGGAGGGCGGCGGGCACATACAGGCTTCACCTGTTGCACTCGCGCCCGAGCTGGCTTTCAAAGCCCGCCCGACTCCAGCGGAGAAGGGGAAAGAGATGCGGGAAGGCCGCGGTGTCCCCGGCGGCGCGGTGGGAGCCGCCGCACCGCCCGTCCTCCCTCGGGCACGGCCTGAGGGTCCCCGGCACTGCGCGGCCCTCGCACCGTCGCTGCCGTGGGGAAGAGCGGCCACTCGCAGCAGCCCGGCCCGCCTGGGACATGTCCACGGTTCTAAAGTTCCTTTCGATTTCGTTTACATGGCTTTTATTTGAGTTTAGTTATTTTTTCTAACTTCGCCCTTACTTTTTCCCAAACTTTGGGCTCCCCAAACCACCGCCCTTTCACTCCGCTGAAGAGAGGACTCGGGGCCCGCTGCGCTGCCGGCCTCCCTGTCGGTTCCTCCCGCTCCCGGGATGGGCCGCTCTCAGTGAGCGAGGATGGAGCCGCCGGCCCGCAGCGGCCCAAGCCCTGCCCGTCCTGGGAAAAACCCCTGCCCTGACAACCCGGGGGAAACCAGGCGGCTGTTATGGAGTCCTCCGTGCGCCGGTTCTGGCGGGCCAGGGGATCCGCTTTGTCCCAGAGTCCCGGCACGGAGCGATTCTCCCTTTCCCGACCCGGAGCAGCCCGAGCGCGGCCTTACCTTCCAGCGGGAACCCGCTGCGGGGATAGTTCTGCCCGGCCCCGGGGCGCATCATCCTGGGGACAGCTCCGGCCAGAGTTGTCATCGCGGCGGCAGCGGCCGACAGGGTTATATCCAGGTGAGGGCTGATCTAGGGGAGACCCGCGCTGTCAGCGGTCCCCGCCGAATCAGGAGCGGTCCCAGAGGGGGTGGAGGATGCCGCCGAGGGGCGGGGAGGAGGCAGCTCCGCCACTGCCCCTTTGTCAGTGACCCGCGCTGCCCCGCACCGGGAGGGCAGGGGCCGGGCCGGAGCCCCGCGGGGTGGCGCGGCTGGGCGCGGGGAGGGCGGGCTGGCGGGGCGGGGGGCGGCGGCGCGGTGCCCAGCGCGGTGCCCGGTGCGGCGGGAGCGGCGGCCGCGGGGCCGGGACCATTTATCGGCTCCGTGCCCGGCGCGGCTCCGCCGCGGCGCCGCCGCGATTGGCCCGGCCCGGCCGCGCCGCCCCCGCTGATTGGGCGAGCGGGGCGGCTCTCCCGCATCGCCCCGACCCGCGGCTCCCTCACACCGGCACCGCGCGGTCCGGCCCGGCTCGGTTCGGCCCCGGCACCGCACGGCCCGGCCCGGCTCGGTTCGGCCCCGGCACCCCACGGATCGCCACGACCCCACCCGGCTCGTTTCGGTTCGACACGGCACGGCAAGACACATCCCGCGCTGACCCCACTGCCAGAGCCGTGCTGGGCCCTCTCGCCGCAAGCAAAGCGCAGCCGGCGACGGGGAATCTATTCGGTGCCCCCCGACGGCCGCCCCGGATCGCAGAGAGAAGCATCAGCCGGGGCGGCCCGGACATCGCATCTCTCAGGACCCCGTGTCACTGCGGGACTCCCGCAGGGACAGCGCCCGCCTCGCTGCCATGAAGCGCTTTTTCTCCTGGCTCCGCTCCCCGAGCACCAGTGGTGGCGGGGCGGGGGAACAATCTCCCTGTTTTTTTCATTTTAAGGAAAAAATGCTTCTTCCCTCATTCTTTCTTTCTACTCATTTACTTTGAACCGAAATCTCTCGCGTCCAGAAGAAGCATCTCCGGAACAGACGGTGCTCACGGTTTTGAAAGAGAGAGCTACCAGTGAGATGTCCGGTGGGATATCTGCTTTCAAAAACCGATGGGACAAGAGTGTCTCTGCGTTTCACGCGTGTGCGTGAGCGCTTATATGCGGGAGTGTATGGGTGCGAGGCGGTGCGTGTTAAAGTCTTACTAACAAGCATTTGTTCCCAGGAATTTATTGTAGTATTCAAACTAAACTGCTGGAAAAATAAAAGAGGTAAAGTCTGCCTCGGAGCTGGAGTGCCCACAGCAGGATATGACGCCAGGAGTGTTGTAAAGACTGTCTGTCCTTAGAGAAGGTACCATTGTGCACGGCCTTTTATTTATAACTTGGTAAGTGCCAGCAAACTCGCCTCCTTTACACTCCGAAGTGCCAGCCCAGCTTTCCACAGGGCTCTTTATTTGCAATCGTCTATTCAAGAACTGTCACTCCCGAGCTTCAAGTTATTCAAGACATTAATCAATCAAAAGGATGGGAATCGCTCAGGTTTCCTCCTTTAAAATGAGGGGGGGAAATGTTTTCTGTGCTCCCAGTCCGCATTCCCTTAACGAGCCGAACGATGGTTGCGGGGCCGGTGCTGGTCCCAGGGAGGGCGGCGGTTCGCCTTATTTAGGCAGAAATCCGGAGCCGCAGTTGTAAAAGAACCGGCCGCTGAGGGACCGGCAGCAGCACGGCGGGGACAGCGGCCCCCGGGGAAATTCGGAGTCTCCATCGCGCTCCGCTCTGCAATGTGGGGCGAGGGGCCCGCAGAACAACCGGCACTCACCGCACACCAGGAAGGCCTCTGGCCCGTGGTCCCGCTCTCTCCAGACCCCCACCCCGGCCACCAAACCGAGCGGTTTCTCTCGCTTTTTAAACGCACACAAATAATCCCTAATGCCGGGTGCTGCCCGGGAGCGCTCCCGCACCCCAAGGAACAGGCTGGCAGGAAAAGTTCGCACGCAGTAAAAATCAGCGTGTATTTCACAAAGCTTTTGTGTTCTACAAACACCCCGATGGCCGGAGCTTTGAGAAACCTGTTAGCTAGCCCTGTGGAAACCCAGCCCCGCGAGACCCGCGCCGAACCGGGCGGCGGAGCGCCGGCGGCGGCCGGGGAAGCACCGGCGGAGCGGCGGCCGGAGCAGTGGGCACTCTCCGCCGCTCCACAGACCGTCCAACGGCGCCGTGCCACTCGCCACGCGTCTTTTACTGGAGAAAGGAAGGCGGTAGAAGTGTTATTAGAAAAAGAGACGAAACTACTTATGGTTTAATTCGCGCTTGGGAACCCCGCGGCGGGGAGCAGGGCCGCACGAAGTGCACTCGGTGCCAACAGCGTCCCCGTGGCCGCCCCTCTCCCCACCGGTACTACGGCTCCGAGAGTGGGACCAGAAACCCTTCCACCGTGATGCTCGGGCTGTAACCCTCGTCCATGCGAGGAGGGGCACGAACGGGGACTGCCCCGACTCCTCACCCGCAGAGGAGGAGGAGCGGAGCCCCTCACCCCGGCAGGAAAACCGGCCTGGGCAGTGTCTCAGCTGCTTTCCCCCCTCCTTTAACGACGCGCCTTCGTGTGAGTGCCGCGTATATTTGCGTGGGCCCAGAGTCGTGCCCAGGGCAGCCCTGGCAAGCCCATCCCGGTGCCAGGAACCGTTTCGGGAGCTCCGTAGGCGCCGGAGCTCCTGGGGCAGGGGACACGGCTGGCGGCTCCAAAAGTAGCTCCGACTCCCGCTCCGCGTCCGGCCCCGTGGGGCTGCCGTGGATCCCGCCGTCCCAGCGCCTCCCCGCAGTCCCAAAGCTCAGCTCCGCTCCCCTAAGACAGGCTCCTGGGCCGGGCTCGCGTGGAAGGGAGGGGAAAGCGATGTTGAAACCCACCTAGTCTCGCCCTCGCGGTCCTGTGCTACCAGACACCGAGTGGCCCGCGATGAAACAGCCTCATCTTCCCGCACGGGAACTGTGAAAAATTCAAGGCAAAAAGATCAGGCACGAATGCCTGGCCC